GAACTTCTGTGGGGTTTCAGTACAACTTATCATATAGATAGTGGTTGAGAGTAGCGTGTTGCCGATTTTCAACTAATTTGGAGTAGCGCTGACTGAGGCCTTTTTCATCCAGCTCGATTATCTTCACACTGTTTTCTAGTGAAACAAGAACCAGATTGCTGCTGTGACCATCTTGACAACCGTGGTCCCCAAACAGAAGCGCCATACTACTGTTCTGCAAGGCGATAGTGAGCTCAAGCCTGGATGGTGAAAGTACGTGGAAAGTCTTACTGTGAACATCTACAATCCTAGATAGACTGTGATAAAGCAGGACACGCTACAACATGACACCATATATAGAACGGATTTCTCTCTCTCTCTCTCTCTCTCTCTCTCTCTCTGCAAAGTGTTTCTCCATGCCTCAACGACTCTGTCAGAGGACGGGGGGGGGCCGTGAAGGCCACACGCGAAGAGGATAGCGGGCGTCCTAATCGAACAGATAAACGGAGTCTCCACGGACTCATCTGAAAGCATTAGAAATTCAAACTCACACTCGCTTTGATTCGCCAAAATGACTCCGGTTTGAAGGACTGGATTCGATCATGGCGTTTTACACAAAATCCCAAGGTTGGGGTTTGACAAGGACCAAACGATACCAGGTTGCTGTTGAGATTTCCATATTTCCCCTGAAGTAGAAGGACAAATACTCAGGTCTTATGCGACCAGATATGGGAAGGTTTCGTAAAACCAATCGTACGGGAATAAATAACCAAAAAGGGGATGGAAAATTTACTTTACTCGCATGGTTGTCCTAAATGTATATCTCAGTGTCCACATATTTCGAGCTGAATCATTCGAATCGAACAAGGTAAATAATAATCAATGCAAACGGAAGCCAAGTTTCACAGCATCCATGGAAATACATAAGTATCAGGAAGGTCAGCTTCCTGAAATTAACCACTGAATGTCCGAAATCTACCGAGACTCCGAGTTCCGCTAGATGTTGACCAGACAGACAACACCGCCTCAACATGCAGCGCATCACAGCCTTGTATCAAACCCAGACAGCGAGAGTCAGCGTTGATCAAGGTCAGATAACGCCCCAGCAATATGCAGCGAGTCTCAGCTCGTACTAATGCCAGTCCACGTGCGTCAGCATTGGACCAAGTTCAGACAGTGTCCCTCCAATAAATAGCTTGAGACCGTTGTACATTCGCACTCGCTTGTTCGGAATATAGCTGTTGTGTTCCTTTCTGTGAGTCCTTTTTCTCGGTAACTAGGCACTGGAGTGGGTCGGCAGCAGATACCACAGATACCATACCAAATATAACAATAAGTAAGGGTAGAAGACGCACCCACGAATTCAACTAAGCCGGTTCAACCAAGCGATGTTCGCAGTGTTCGGTGCAAATCTTCATAGCATCAACGGAGACGCATAAGTTAGGATGGACGACGCCCGAGAAGAAATCAGGAGCGTGGAATCATCGGCATCAAGTATGTCTTTCCAAGCCATAACACACACATAGATTGGCAAACTGAGTGGTTGGGATAGCATCTATAGAGAAGATGATATACCTAGTATCCCTCTTCGAAAAAGAACAAAACAGTGAGGTCAGGTGAAAACTAAGAATGAGCTAACACAATTAAAATGTATTTCCCTGGCATCGTCCACGACTGCATTGGTACTAACAGTTTTGAAAAGGAATCGCATATGCTATAGACATGAAGGCATGCATGTAGGTGGTTGGGGGTCCGTCCGCCAACCAAAAGTTCAGAGGTCAGATTCACACCCCAGTCGCATCTTCTAGCCCATGTACATGGATTGTGAAATTCACACCAGGAGCAGCTTTGGCATGTATAGTGAATTTGTGACAGGTAAGTATGACGTATGGTAGAGTCCTGAATGTTTGAAATTGCAAAGCCCGAGATGGCTCACTGGTTTGTTAAGGTACGAAATTACTCATCAGAAGGTTCAAACCCAACCCCAGTCTATCGACTGCATCTGTCTAGACTTGGGCAATCCGGCAAGTTCATTGGACTGATTAGGCAGCTAGACACCGAAACGATATTACTGCTGAAAGTTATCATTTATTGTGTAAACATGACGTACTGCTCATAAAGCCACTGAAAGCCCTTCGGCCGGTCGCTCAAGTAGGCCCAGTCCCCGAGTTTCCATCAACCTCATGTTCAACTTGAACTGGACAATCATAAAAAAGAGATTTTTCCGAGTCTGCTGTGAAAACAAATTCATGTGCAAATAAGAGCACTCGTCGACGTATGTTCTTTCTATATAAACAATCATGGGGGTTCCACGGTCATGGATGAAGGTCTATCGCTCGAACACGGCCGTACTCCAAGGCAATCAAGCACCAAGAGGTAGGAGAAAAGCCGTAGGATTTGTTTTAATTACTTTTCCTTACAAAAGCCAGTTATAAAAGCAGCTACCGTGTGACCAGTGACCTGTTAAAGAATCCGACATTATGCTCCGTGAAAACCAATCCAAATACTTGAACAAACACCGATCCGTTGATGAATTACGGTTGATCCGTTACATCACACTTGATCCAGCTCTCAACGTACCCCAAACAGTCCTTGACCCCCGCTCCCACCTGCAATCGTAGTTAATGACCGGCAGGTCCGTGGTTCGAACCCTACCTCTGCCACTCGACTTCCCCTGTCTAGGCTTGGGCAACCTGGCAGTATCCCACTCTTCGTGCTTCCTTCGGGTGGCACGGCAACTAGGCGCCGGAAGGGTGCTACAGCTGAAAAAACGTAGTTACCGTTCCTTTCTCACTGGCTTGGTAATCAAGACCCATAAATGGATCGGCAGATGACGCTGAATTTGAAAGAAGGTAGCAACGGAACGTTGACTGGCAGCACTAGAGCATGGTTTGCCTTGCGGACAAAGGCCAGTCTGGCTGTTCAGTAGGTCTTGTGTACCTCAGTTGTCAGATGGTACTGCATGGCCTAGCTCAAGTAGGCCCCTCTGAACGCTAGATGAATGAGGATATCACGTTTGGGGAGAGTGATGAAGACCTCTAAATTGGGTGTCTGCACATTCTGTTTCTTGGTAAACACTTCAGGATAATTTCTAGATTCGAAAGCTTCTCAGGTTATTGTTTTGTTTTCCAAGCTGAGCTGAATGTTGATATGAAGAGAGCTCAGTAGCTCAAAAATGTTTTGCGTTCCCTTTCGCGGATTCAAGACGACTAGAATGTCGTCAACGTAGAGCTCATAAAGAGTCAATCGGCGAAAAACATTTTCGACCCCTTGTTCAATATCAGCTAATATAGGGTCCAACAGACTCCCCAATGGACATATCAAGTGTGTTTGACGTAGAAGTCAATATTATCTGGGCACAACTAGATCGGTTGTACACCCGATTATAACGATTTTTTTTATTTACTTGGTTACAAATGAAGTTGACCGTTGCGTGGAGTGACACATGGTGAACAACGAACTGACATCTGTGCTCGAAAGGTGCTGATATGTCATGTTTTAAGCTTTTTAGTTTCTCCAAGAGTACGTTTCCATACGCCCACTAGCCATTTTGCAAATATGTATTGTAGCCAGTTAGATATGGAAGAAAATGGCCGAATGGAAACACCCGATTTGTACAGTTTTGGGAGCGAGTAGAGTTGCGACAGAGGCATCTTAGACGATCGCTTGCTTACACCTCGTGCTGTTGATCTTTCCATCCAATCCGCGTGTCAGGATAGTTGTACAACACTTAACAAGCATTACTTACTTACGATTGATCATCAACTAGCATTACGGCAACAAAGGATTAACGGAGATTTAATCCCAATTCAACCAGGCACCGACACAATTTCAAAGCCAAACAGGTTCGCATCCTACAGTCCTCATCAGCTGCCTGTCATCTGATTGTAAGCGAGCGTCGCACCGACCCAACCATCACATCCAAAATCGTGTTCAACACTGCAAATAGCACAGTTATGAATGTTGTTGAAGCCATTGCTACTCGCGAAAGGAAACCGGGCCTGGAAAAGCAGAATCAGCTTCACGTTTCGTTGTGAACAACCGTGGTAGACTGTAGAGAAAGCCTTCAGCGTGGCTATTTTTCCTATTCTGATTTGTCTATGGTTGTGTCCAATAAGACCCAGAGGGATAAATCCGAAAGTTTATGCAGAACTTCGATATTGTGCTTCATTTCCAAGTTAATAACGGGGGAAAGTTTGCTTTACAGTTGGAAAATGCATGTGGTGAATCTTGGTTTAGAACTTCACAAGAATTTGAACAGTGGACTTAATTTTTGCGAGTGCCATGAAGGGCTGACTCAATAGGGAGATTGCGATCCAATCAGAACCATTTATACAATTGACAGCAAAATTCTCGCTCAAGGCTTCTTTTGGTCAGTGTTTACCAATTTAACTTAAATATAGCCATTATGTTTAGCCATGAATTCCGAAAAGTCTACTTTCACAATCCACCATCGCTAACCACGTCACTGGTTCTCAAAGAAGTCGGCTGGAGGACAGACGAACCGTCCGTCGCTGGAGCTGGTCCACATACAATATAATTCTACAAAAGACAGACCTATGAAGGAAGGTCCTTAAAAGGACCACTCTTCATGCACGTCTAGTATACGACTCCCCGAAAGTGAAGCTGCCGCAGAAAAGGAGAGGAACTACTGGACAGCACACCTCACACACCATACTCCATCGACGACAAGGCTGATAAAGGAAAGGCTACGAATGTCGGAAATATGAAAGTTGTAAAAATGACAGCCCACAGTTTCAAAACTGGGCAAACCGGTTTTCAAAACGAGGGAGAAATGGTGACATTTGAAAGATCAGCCATCAGTTACCACCCTACATCTAAACCGAAACCCGGCTTTTTAGTCAAATCCTTTGAGAGATTCGATCATTAATTAGAACGAAAGATTTCACTAATAAGGTGATAACAAAGTTCAGGTGCAACACACTTTCGGTGCATAGCTGTTATGCCACCCGAAGGAAGTACGATGGTTGAGATACTGCCTGGCTGCCAAAGGAGCGGCCGAAATATCACGTATCTTCCGGTTAGTACGTTCGCGCCACTGAGTCATATCGTGCTCGACTTTGTTACTGACGAATGTTTATCTAAGTCACCAGTCAGTTGGAACAAACCACATTCATTCGTTTGAGGTTTGCCTCCAGCGGGACAGAAAATTCACTAATGGATAGCAATGTTAGGAACTCTCCTGAAAGTTCGTCTCGGTAAGGCTAGACAGACCTGCCCGACACTCTTGCGGCGGTCTTCCAGTCCCGACAAACCTAATACAAGACGGCAGGAGAAACATGGAGGCAGCCGTAACATGAATAAGGGAAGCGTAGTTTATCACATCCTCCTGGTTCAATAGATGCGTTTTAACCCGTCTTCACTCGGCTGAAATATGTATTCAAGGACAGGTTACGGATACCCAAGTTTGTTGAATAGATGTGCCCACAAGCAGCTTTTCGGTCATGAACACCTAGCTAGCACCAAATGTACAAAGCGGATACCACTGTGGAGACTTAAGATACGGACTAATCCACAGTGGTACGACGCGTCTTTCACCAATAGGCGTTACACATTCTCCAATGATGTCACCTACATATACTCAAGAAAGCATTTGTTTGATCAGCTGATCGAAACTGATTTGTTGAGTGGCTGTTCATCAGGTAGATTGCGTGCAGCGTTTAGTCTGCTGAGTCTAAACGAAACGATCATTCATTGGATCTGTATCTTGTAGAATAATGAAAAAAGGGATAAGCGTTGGAGGCGATGGCCCCGTCTGCGTATTGAGGACCCGCTGGTGATGCACTATAGTATCCATACACATCAACTGAAAGCAAAAGAATTAAAGTAGGATGATAACAACCTCTCGAAAACTGCAAACAAGTCCAGTGAGCAAAAACCAATTATTAAAAATAACGATCGACGAAGGAGAGAAATTGATATCTCACTTGGAAGAACTTTGTCTGAAATCGGGTAAATGCGCAACCGATCCTCAAGTCTAGTTCCTGTCGAGCATCTACGGAGAGTGACTCGTTTTTATTTGGTTGGCGGAGATTGCGTAGTGCGTTAGACAACTCTTCGTCAGTGATTGCACTGAAGTGCGCTCGGAAGATTCGTTTCTACCACAAAGAGAAGGAAACAAAGCGTGTGGAAAATTCGAGATCATCATGTCCACAACGGAACGCTGAAGAAAGCTCACGTCACTCGTAAATAAAATAAATTGTCCAGCTGTGGCATCCTCTCGGTGCCTAGCTGCCATGCCACACGAAAGAGGCACGAGAGCTTGGATACTGCCAGGTTGCAGAAGCCTAGACAGGGGAAGTCGAGTGGCAGAGGCCGGGCTCGAATCACGGACCTTCCGGTCAGTAAATTCGCGCCCTAACGACTTGGTCACGTCACTCACGAATTAAAGAAACACTTGTGCACTTGGGAGAACCTATAATAGATTACATATAGATTAGGTCAGAATACGCCACCTTTAGGCATTTTTCCATAGAAGCGATAGGAAATTCGTCTAGTGAACGTTAAGAACGAAGCCTGATGGAGTGGACAAACTACTCACCTGAACCGAATCTGACAATTCGGTGTCACTTGTGTCGTCAGAAGGGAATGCCACGAGACAAAATTGGTATAGGGTCACAGAACAGGTTATATTGTGGTATGGTTGCGGGCGGATGATCTGTGACCATCGATATGACAAAAACGAGTGTCTGATTGAGCAACAACTTCATTATAGGCAAACAGTCAGCATTCGGAACTGCAGTGGTACAGCCAAGTGTCGCACACACCAAATCATTCTCTCATGAGACAGGGACTATTCTCTACGCCTCATTCAGTGGTGCAAAATGCAAGGTGGATATTGTGGCTTGAAGGAGACTATGAAACGGTTGAATGCTGTATGTTCACTTTCCGGATAGGGTCCTAGTGGACCATCCCAAGGTAGAGACATTGTAAGAAAATACAGCTAATCTATATCAGTATTGCCTGCTTTGACAGGGCCTTCCGAAGAGGTCGCTCTCCAAAACAGACAATACCCCAGCCTAGTGTGCAACATTTAGGAAGGGAAGTCAAGCGCAGCAGACCCCTCAGCGATCAATGCCTTTCAGGCTCTTTTGTTTCAGTAATTGCTCCGGTTACTGTATGATTGCGGGATTCCAGTACGTCACAAACAGATTACCTTGGGAATGGATTTTTATTGGTCAGCCGAAAAGTTGGATATTATCATTACTGAAACAGGCAGGATGTTGACAATTTGCTACCGAACAATCTCACGAAAAGTGTGCCTAGGAAGTCGGGCTAGTTTTACTCCTAGATAGGAGCATATACTAAGTGGCTGAACTACATGATTCGATTCTCCCTCTCTGAGATTTCATCCAAGAAATGGCGATCATCCTCACTGAGCCACATGAAAGTCTGGTTGCTTGAAACCCAGAGGAACGTCCTAGAATATGAAGAGATATATCAAGGTCATACTCGTCTCAAATATACGCGTGGAGCGTTCGTGTAAATGTGATCAACGCAAACCCTATAGGTTGAAGTCCCAGTTGTTGTTCTCGAGCCGGCATAAGGCGACGAAGGACAGGCGACGCCAAGTATCACGTCACGACTGGATTGAAGCTGATTTCACCGTGATTACCTCACTCACTATAGACCGACTTTCTAAAAATGGACGCTATTACCGACTCTCCAAAGTTGTTGGAAACAGTGTCCTTTCCTCAGACAGGCATACAGACCAGACGAAGGGGACTTTACCCGCCATTCTTCAAAAATGCGCTCATCTGGTTATCCAGACCAGGAGCTCGGTGGCAAGATAATATGCATTCATGAGCCTTCGAGGCTGTATGGGGATCCACTTTCATCTTCTGGGGTTTCACCACAGTTCCAGGATTAAAGGGCTGTTTCTCAAAACGATTGACCCAGCTACCAAGGCATTTCTGTTTATCGAAGATTATTGGGGCGGTTTGAATCTTGATAGTTTCGCGAAGAGACAATTCCCAGGGATCTATAGCGTGAATTGATCGAAACAGCTCCACATTTCAGGCTTTCTTCACCTCTTCTGTTCTTTTAGCCTTCCGTGTCCACCAGGTTTCACGGATGGAGCGCAGGCCAGGTTTCAGTTGACATCTGGTGATTCGCCGCCGTAAATTACTTTTGAGAAGAGAGATTTCAGGTTTCAGTTGACATCTGGTGATTTGCCGCCGTAAATTACTTTTGAGAAGAGAGACAACACCTCTGAGATTAAAGCTGCACCAGTGTTTTTTCTGATATCCACTGCTTCCAGGCGAAATTTCCGGCACTATGCAAGGAAATAGCAGTGCCATTCCAGTACGAATTGATACCTGATCATGGAACTGCTGGAATTGAAGAGGGTTCTGGTAAAATCACTTAACTTCGGCGCCTGCCAAACTCTCAGCTGTTAGGCCAGTGGTCTACACCTTACATGAAAAGCGTAAACAGAAGTGGATCTGGATGATGACGTGGTCGGAATGCATACAAGTGTATCAAAATGATCCAAACTGCTGCAGACTGGTGGAAATGTGGTCAACTTAGATACTTGGAGGGCGCCGTGGATAGACGGTTTCGCTTATTTTTGAAGTTATTACAGCATACAAACAGTCAGCACATAGTGGGAGCACTTATTCGCTGTTATCTGTGTGAATCCATACCGACCACTCAATTGAGTCTCAGATGTGCCCACAAAAGAGGAGTCTGTGAAGAAGCTGTGCTTCGTTTTTCTAAACAATTTATGGTAATAGTTGAATCTTCCGGTGAATAGTGAACACCACTAACGTATTGCTAGAGATCAATCGGCCTTATAATTTCGGAATGGAAACAGTTGACCTAGTAGCTGGGCTTATAAAACAAAAGGCTGATTCACAGCACGGTCATCAGGATGAAGCTAACTCATAAGCTTACCGGGGGGATCATGACGCTGTGAACACAATCGATCACCTCGAAGCAGATATTTTCTCCCTCCTTATCGCAATCAAGCCAAAGAATCAGAGTATCCGCATTCTTGGCCTGTATGGTGAAGTAACTGGAGATGTAAAAATAACCTACTTCTTTACGTAAATATTCAACCATCTTCAAATTTGGATTCGCCTCTTTCTTCTCAATCGGGGCTACGAACAATTCGATCTAGGTAACAAGTGCGGAAAATTAGAGGTGTGCTGACACGTACAGGGTCCACACGGTCCCAATTGTTGTAACGGCTGAGAAAGTCAGTTGTCATGACGTGTCCACAAACTGATGTCATTTTGAAGCGAACCTGTCCTCCCATGAATGACCCGGTCCATTCGTGTACAGAACACGCTCCGTTAAACCCTCGACGGGAGGCATGACGGCCCCTTGAAAGCGATTTGGATATTGACTCTGCCAACGAGGGCTTTTCAGCCACCATAAACACAGTGGACATTTTACAGCTGAAAATAAAGACAGAAAGCAATTAGGCAATAGCTTTTCCCTAGAGTGATTGTGGATTGTTAGGGGGCCTGCGGATGAATAGTCGGCAACAAGGGTTTCAGCATTAGTTCAAGACGAGACTGAAAAAATTCACAACCAACACGAAGTAACATAGGCAGCACGGACTACCAATCTGCCATAAAGGCTGTAAGAAATGAAAATAGCCTAGCTGTAGCATTCGTTCGGTGCCTAGCAGCCTGCAACCTGAAGGAAGCACAGGAGCTGGAATACTACCAGGTTGCCTAAGCCTAGACAGGGTAAGTCAAGATGCAGAGGTCGGGGTCGAACCGCGGATATTCCGGCTAGTAAATTCGCGCTCTAGCCAAAGCCATATCACCGCCAGGAAATAGAAAAAATTGCGTCCATCGAGAGTGCTTTAAGCTTATCACCTATTAGTGGTCAATATCGTTCACAAGATAAAAGTAAAAACGGAGCTTTCATTGCGATCCTGTGTATTATGAAAGGAGAATAGTGTCGTTATAATCTAGCAGTTTACGAGGGTCGTTGACGAATCATACTGATCTGAGAGGTTTACGTACCAATTTGTGCCATTTAGGTGATTGGGGAATTATTCATTTTGTTTCGAAGTCAAAAGTATCCACGTGCGCAGACCACATCAAAGTCTTACGAAATAGTACACACACACACAAATAGTACATTCAAGCAACTAGGCCATTCGAGACTTAATGTTCACCTCCGTGGACCATTGCCTTCGTAACATGTGATTCTTGACTATTATCAATACTTTCGTCTCCCGTTTGCATTGGATCCCGGTATATGGAAGCACCTTCAGTTATCAGATTTTTTTGGTCAGTAATTGGGCTTCCGGAAACATTACTGTTTGGGCGCTCTCAGCTGCGGACTTCGGGTGACTCTCTATCTGCCACACTTGACTGCATCAGCATTGGTATACCTCTGAGCTCTCGAAATGTTTCCTTGCTTGATTGGGTACCACCAAACAGTCATACCTGCGCCGTTCGTTTGTCCACTTATATAGCGCTTCGCATTGATCAAAATACGAATCATTCGACGGCCAAAGTTTCTACATATGTACCGACCTAATGTAGGTCGGTTTTGATGGATATGTTTTATCGAGAAATAACAACCCATTCACCAATCATGAAAAATTCAGTCTTAATGGCTAGGGATTTCAATCCGCAAGTAGTTGCATGCCTGGTTGGGACCTAAAGAATAACTCAACCTCTCCTGTCTAGGCTTGAGCAGCCTGAAATTATCTCAGCCCTCATGTTTACTTCAGGTGGCATGGCTCCCAGACACCGAAAGGATGTTACAGCTGGAAGATTTTGTATTATAATTAACCACAGATACTACTGGAATTTTCAAATACAAGGGACGTTAGTGTCTGCAGCAGAATACTTCAGGCAACATTACTTGGCCATCTGCCCTTAGCCCTGTTTGTCATTCGGTCCGCAGCTTCCAAGCCCTAGTTTATGGATTAAGATCTTCCACAATTATTGAAGTACTTATATGGATTTTTGTCTCGAAGCGCCGATGGGTAGCCAGTCCAGATGAGCTTCCCTTGGTTAAAATAAACAAGATGTGACTGTCTTGAAAATTACCTGAGAATAAGACTGTGTTCCTAACAGCTACGACCAGTTAATCATTTTGCCCGCATTCAAAAAGATACACGAAACAACATTTCCAATCAGAGGTATCATCCTGACGCCTGCCATAGCGCGGCTGCCGGCCGTAGTTTTATTCGACAGCATAACATCAGTGCTCAGGACCGATGCTTCCATCCCGTACACTCATGATTTAATTGAAACCCGACCTCTGTCTCTCGACTTTCCCTGTCTAGGCTTGGGCAACCTGACAGTATCTCAGCCGTCGTGCTTCCTTCGGGTGGCATGGCAGCTAGGCACCGAAAGGGCGCTACAGCCGAACGATTTTTTTACTGTATGGATGGATGGATTGGATGTTTTTGGTAGGCGCATTCCCCGGGTTTCCGTCAACCTTATGTTCTACTTGAAACCAAATTGCACGAAATTAGCGAATATACACTCATTTGCAAAAGCGGATGGGGAAGAGACGGCGTTAATCTACCACAATCGTTCAGAGGTGCCTACAACTCCAGATTCGCTCAGACAACCCGGGTAGAAAGAGGTAGAACGAACGCCATTGACATCGACCAGCAGTCGTATCTTGCAGCGTCGAGCCAACACACGGGTGTACATGTGACACCTATCCTAAAAGATGTTAGACTAACGGCACTCGCATATTTCGTAATCTCTTACATATCCCTCCACCGAGGCAAAGCTTGACCAAATCTTTGATTCCGCCACTCTGAATTTGGCACGAATAACAGCACTCTTTTGGGCAAACGATGGTTCATCACACGCAATACATATGATGTGAGAACTGACTCCGGCACTTGAGACGCAAATCCGACAGCAGCAAGCAATATTCCATCCGGATACAAGGTGCGTTGATAAAACAACCTTACCTCAAATGCTTGAGCACCCCCATACACCTCACCGGCCAGAAAATGCTGTTTTGTTCAACTCCAAAAGGGCTTTCGACTCAAGAGATAGGTCATCTAGCCGATTAGAGATGCCTTCTCACACTTCCAGCCGTGTAAGGCTTATAATTAACCACTCAAATTACCCACAACTAGCTAGGTTTGAAAATAACGCCTTCTATCTCAGTCTATTATATTTCATTATCGATATCATGATTGAATACAAACGTCAAGGGGTCGAAATTATCCGTCGGAGGGTCCACAGCACTCTGTGACCTGTAACCGCCGCTCAAGCCGTATGCCGTTGTCTTAAGGTTATTAAGCACAATTAAGAGTAGGTCGTCAAACTAAGACTTTTGTGATGACTGTATACCTGTCAGTATATATGAGCTACTCCTCGATGCTCGGGCCTAGGGTAGTGCAATGTCTTACACATGCAGGGGGCGAGACGGCTCAATTGGTTAGAGCGCGAATTTACTGACCGGAAGGTCCGTCGTTCAAATCCGACCTCCGCCACTCGACTTCCCCTGTCTAGGCTTGGGCAACCTGGCAGTATCCCAGTCCTCGTGCTTCCTTCGGGTGGCATGGCAGCTAGGCACCGGAAGGGTGCTACAGCTGAACGCTTTCTTTCTTTCTTACACATGCAACCCATCCAGTCTTTTCTCTGACAAAGTTAGCCAAGGCAGAAATCCAATCAAAGTTCGTCAGGATACAACGCGAAGCGTTTAAACTATCAGAATCACTGCACGGTTGCTCCAGCATTTATGTTACCGGTTAGCACAGACTTTGGAATGAACGATAATACTGATCTTGTGGCTAATCCGCCCCATCTGGTTGTCGCTTATTATCGGTTCACAGTGACATCTTAGTGACGGTCTCGCAGGAAATCAACGACGATGGCAGAAGGTCGTCTTCTTGAAGCATGGCCGGGAGAGAATTGCATTCTATTGAATAGTTTGCCGAAGTCTACGGTTGTCATACCTGTTCGATAGACCAACCTGATCCAGCTCCCGCGGGAGGGTGGTGAGTTCACCACATAAGACTCACGGATTGATACACGGAATTAAGGCTTCTGCCCAAGTTTCCCGGGTCGGTTTTGTTCTTGTCGTTCACCTGAAAGGCACAGGTAAAAAAGGGTGTAGCGCTGCTCTTTATGTTCTCTGAGCGGGGCAGTATGCTTACCAGCGCAAGGATTCGCGTACATGTCTAATAGTGCTTTGAACTGGGATCTAGAATGAGCGTGGACCACTCTCGGGGGAAGGTTATTCCACGCAGCTACTACCCAAAATGAGAAAATGTTTTGCCTAATGAATGTGTGGGCTCTGAGCTCGAAAGCCTTCTTACTACGTCGCCGCCATGTGTTTGTTGTTGATCAACGGTGAAAAACCTGTTGGTCAAGCTTTGTTCAAACAGTGCATAAAGAAGAATTAGGTCCCCTCGGAGGCGAAGTCAAGCACCGCGAGACGCGTTTCGTAGTCCACGGCCTTGAAGCCGGCAACCAATTTCGTAGCGGCTCGCTGGACACGCTCAATAAGGGTGACGTCTTTCGTGCGTCCTGAATAGACAACCTGGTTGGCGTATTCAATGAGTGGTCTGACGTAGGCCTTATAGTCTTTGGGAGTCCATGCGAGTAATATGGGAGGTGCACCGAATCATCCCTAAAATGGCAAATGCCTTTTGGGCCGACCTCTGAGGGAGCAGTGAGAAGGACAAGTTTGAGGAGACCCAGATTCCCAGATCCTTTTGAGCATCTATCCCCGTCATGTCTTCTGATCCCTTCTCACCATGAATGACAAAGACATTCACTGAGTATCCTCCAAATGACATATGGACGTACTTTTCGTCATGCAGAGGAAGGTGCCAGTCCAAGGACTACTGATGCGCAGCGTCTACATCCGTTGTTCAGTCCAACGACCACTACACAGGAGTTCGGACAGCAAGCTCTTTAATGTTGTTCCAGTATCCATCATTCAAATCTCCATTATCTTTAGCATGATCTAGGGCAGGCCGACTGACTGGCCGACGGTAAGTAGGTTTTGTTTCACTGTCTCCTGTCCAAGGGGTTGTTGCCTTGATTGGGTCGACGTCTCGAGAGCTGGCTCCGGACCGGACGGGGTTATACCTTGATTGATCTGAATATAGGCCAATCAGGATGTAGAATTTACCCCAACGCTCCTGGTTCGACCACAAGGATTCTGGCATGACCATGCAGAAAATCAAATAATAACTAACCACGAACAACATAGGTGGCGTTTTGATGAAAAACTACATAGTGGAATCAACATTTGTCTGAAAAAGTCGCTATGTATTTGCAAAAAGCTCGGTGTTGGTGGTAACGTGTCAAATCCATGGACGTCCGAATGAGTAATATTTTGCCCTGTTCTGGACATATAATTGTGTTCCATCGCTCTCAAAGTTCACAAAATTAAGAAATCCGTTCAACACGGTGGTAGAGCTGTCAATTGTTTCTGTTT